TCTGCGCAGTGGTAGCCGTATTTCAACATAGCAACGCCCTTAGCAACGGCTCTTTACGGTCAAAAAGTGGTTACAAAATGTAACAAGAGAATTCTGCAAAATGGTCATGAACGTTGTTTTCCTTTATTAGTTACACGCCACTTAAACTTGGTTAACATTTTTATGACCGGTGTGTATTTTGGTATTGAATGCAACATTTATGTAGCTTCTCTCACTATAACCCCTTCCCCAACCGATGCCGCTCCACTCCCCCCCCCACCCCCCCCCCCCCAGGTTCACATGGGTGGGGGGTGGCATTATTCGCATTTTCGGTATTAGACTGGAACTACAATCGTAAACAAACGTCCTTGGGACACTTGTGTAATTTAACGAATTATCTGTGTTTTACTGCTAAAGTTTGTAAAAAGCGCTGCTTTCCTTTTAAGAACGCGTTACTGTTCCCTCTTCCCACCTAATACAATGTTGGAAACCAGAAGAAATTGCAGGTAGTAGTTTTCAACATTACATGGGGGAAGGGAGGCGAGGTTAGGGAGATGAAGTTATATTTGCGTCTGGTGTGTGCGCAAAAGCGCCAAAAGTGCAAATTTGTNAGTCAATTTTACTGAGTAGGCTCCAGCGATGCCCATCACCAATTAAGGGGCATATATCGAACAATAATTCAAGTTTGTTGTGTTTACATTTCATGTCTTTAAACGGCGAAAAAGAGCGTAAACTTTCAAAATCTCCTTTGATTTGCACGGAGGATGAGCGGCAGTGCTTAGTTCCAACATGGAAAGAACGGCTTTGTTACCAAAAGGGGCTTAGGAGGGGTAGTGTGATGGGGTGGTGGAGGAATTCACGTACGGTGGAACACGGCCAAGTCACGTCGCCGAGTGAAAGCTGATGAGAAAATAGAACAGATAAGGAAAAACTCATGAATGGAAGCCAAGTTGACACAAACGCAAGCATTGTACTGTTTAAAAATACATTTGCCAAGCAAGTGCAGTCAACTAAAACTGAAGCACTTCTACGAAAGTTTCTCAGCTCTAACTTTCGATTTGTGTTCTTTGTATCCAAGAGAATCGTCTACATCACAGACAATCTTTTTAGCCATGTTGCGTACATGAAATTATTAAAAGCGGATTGCAGTAGGAATCTGGGACACAGTGTCAGAGAGAAACTGCTTCATATTTGTCACTTGGCCTTTGAAAAAGGTGTAAACTTTCTACAATCGACCTAGCCCTTTTTTGCGTCTCTGACCTTAGCTTTGCTTAATTCAAAAACAGAGTTGTAAATTCTCGAGTCATTGTCTACCTTGATCTCTGGTG